AAACACTTATGCAATGTTTGTCTTGTACCAGGCACCAAGTTCTGAGTAGTTTATATCTATCTATTCATTTGATCCTCATGACAACCAACTGAGGTATGTTGTACCTCCATTTTTACACTTGAGGGACTAGAGGTTAAATAACTTGATTGAGTTTAGCAGAGTTGGAGAGAACAGATTGGAAAGGCAGATTGGAACAGATAGAAAAGGGCATTAATGTCATATCAGGAGGGTAAATTTTATGTAATGGTTAATACAAACATTTGACAGTTTTTTAGCAGGAGTATGACACAGCCAGAGATTATTTTAGGGCAATTCACCTGGCAGTTCACAGCCATATTCCCCAGTGCATAGAACACCACTTGGCATATGGTAGGCCCTCCATAAATATCTTGAATATTTATGGAACCGTGTTGGGAGTTGTCCCATTTATTGATATAAATTTGTAGGTAAAGAAACATTTGGATTCAATATTTTCAAACTGACAAATATGCCCATAACTTCATTCTTGACCTTCTAACTTTCTCTCACTACACTCATTGTTACAGTTCCAATTAGCATTTCCATCTATAATGACTCCCATAAGAAACAAAAATATACCTTCCTATATTTCCCTTCATTGTTTGAGTTCTGCTCTCCATAGCTACGCAAAAGAAAGTTATGTAATCCAATTCTCTTTCATATGACGCTGTGTCAAACCTATACACAGTCATCATGTACAGGTTTCTCTTTTCCAGGTTAAATAGTCTCAGCCCATTCAATCATATATCTGTCACCATCCTAGTTACCCCTCTGGAACTAACCAGTGTCTGTTAAACACATGACATCAATACTGACCAGTGAGTCCAGAAATATCCTAATTAGTCCATTTCCTTGCCTTCAAAAGCTTTGGAATTATCCTCAGATGATAAAGAATCTGTCTGCCTTTCAGGAGACCTGGGTTCAATCCAGGGATGGGGAAGATCCCCTGGGGGAGAGCATGGCAACCCACTCCAGTTTCTTGCGTGGAGAATCCCATGGACAGAGGAACCTGGTAGACCACAGCCCATGGACTTACACAGAATCAGACACAAATGAAGTGACTTAGCACAGCCTGCAGTCATCCTCAATACAGTGCTACCTTAAAATGAATGGTACCTTACCTCAGGCACATTTTTCATTTCTGCATCTGCCTCCTCTATTCCTTCTGGTTCAGGTTGTCATCACCCTAGGCCTGTGTCTGTTTTCCACTTCCTTGCCTCCTGCTGCCAAACATGTACTCCGTATTCCATGCTGCTCTGCATGTATCAGCAGACATTCATTGAGTATTTGTGATGAGCAGGCCCTGTGCTCATCATGCTGCAGGGCATTGTTTTCAGGGCAAAGCCTTTTTGTTAACTATGGGGAAGAAGGGCATTCCAGCATAGGCATCTCCAGGTTTATGGAGATGGCATTTGACTAAACTTTTAAAAATGGGTGGAATTCAAAGCAGAGTTGAATAGCATTCCAAAACTGCCAGAACCTAGGGGGAGATGCAGGAAATAGATTCTTCTGCATATCCTTCCAAAAGAACCAACCTTGCTGACATTGATCTAAGACTTCTAGACTCCAGAACTGTGAGAAAATAAATTTCCATTGCTTAAACCACTCGGTTTGTGGTACTTTGTTACAACTACCTTAGGAAACTAATACAAGCCCCAAACTAGAAACAACCCAAATGTTAATCAGCTGTATTTATTTAGTAGAACAGGTAAATAAATATGGTATAGTTACACAATGGAAAACTATACAGCAACTAAAGTGAACTAACTACAACCACACTTAACAATATGAATAAACCTTACATGTAAAGTTAAGCAAAATGAATCAGATTCCAAAAGAGCACCTGCAATATGATTCTATGTATCAATGAAAACTCAAAGTGTTAGTTGCTCAGTTGTGTAGGACTCTTTGCAACCCTATGGACTGTAGGCCACCAGGCTTCTCTGTCCATGGAATTCTCCAGGAAAGAATACTGGAAGATTCCCTTCTCCAGGGGATCTTTCCCACTCAGGGATCAAACCTGGGTCTCCTGCACTGCAGGCAGATTATTAATGTCTGAGCCACCGGGGAAGTCAAAACTATAAATTAGCCAAAACTAATTTATGTTGTCATAATTATGGTTACTCTTTACATGGGAGGAGAGACAAAAAGTGAGCCAAAGGGTTTTGGGGGATTCTGGAAATATTCCATTTCTTAATACAAATGCTGGTTGCATGGGTTTATTCAGTTGTTAACAAGCAATTGAAAGGGTAACAGGCAGGAAGGCCAGGGGTCTCCAAATGGAGGAAAGAGGCTGCAAGTGCCAGACATTTTTATCTCTCTTAAGCGGCAGGAAGAAACAAACCAGCAATATGTTTTTCCTTCTCTATACAAATTTAAAAGGAGGTTTCTCTTAACATGCTGTGTTACCATGACACCTGGTCTCACCTAAAGCTAACTACTCTCAAACCTTGAGTTAACCAATACATTTCTTTTTCTTATGGAAATGTTGTCTTAAGCTATGTTAATGAACCCAGACTCTATCTTCAAGTTGGTTCCACCAAACGGCCTAACTTACTTACTCAGGTATTGTTCCCCTAATCTATGTAAACAAAACTATTTGTTAGTATTCTGCCCTTCTACAAGATTCAAGTCAGTTGTTTTATGGCCAGGGATGAATTATCTGGTGCCATTCTAAATTTTATGACATTCCTTTCTTTTCATTAACAGACTATGAGTGACTATATAACATACAGCTAAAGACTAGGAGGGGGGTACTCTTTTGCCCCCTTCTGATGCATATGTCAGAAGCTTTCTCTATCTCCTTTATACTTTAATAAAACTTTATTACACAAAAGCTCTGAGCGATCCAGCCTGTCTCTGGCCCCGGATTGAATTCGTCTCCTCCGGAGGCCAAGAATCCCAGTGTCTTATCGTTCAGCAACAACCTTTCACAATGGGAAGGGCTTGAAAGATCTAAGTGTACACAAACTACCGAACAATTGCACCTATCTCACACACTAACAAAGTAATGCTCAAAATTCTCCAAGCCAGGCTTCAACAGTATGTGAGCCAAGAAATTCCAGATGTTCAAGCTGGATTTACAAAAGACAGAGGAACCAGAGATCAAATTGCCAACATTCACTGGATCATAGAGAAAACAAAGATATTCCAGAAGAACATCTGCTTTATTGACTACACCAAAGCCTTTCACTGTGTGGATCATTAACAAACTGTGGAAAATTCTAAAGAGATGGGAATACCAGACCACCTTACCTGCCTCCTGAGAAATCTGTGTGCAGGTCAAGAAGCAACAGTTAGAACCAGATATGGAACAACAGATTGGTTTCAAATTGGGAAAGGAGTACGTCAAGCCTGTATATTGTCTATAGAGCTGTTACTTTGCCAACAAAGGTCCATCTAGTCAAAGCTATGGTTTTTCCAGTAGTCATGTATGGATGTGAGAGTTGGACTATAAAGAAAGTTGAGCAGTGAAGAATCGATGCTTTTGAACTGTGGTGTTGGAGAAGACTCTTGAGAGTACCTTGGACTGCAGGGAGATCAAACCAGTCAGTCCTCAAGGAAATCAGTCCTGAATATTCATTGGAGGGACTGATGCTAAAGCGTCAATACTTTGGCCACCTGATGCTAAGAACTGACTCATTGGAAAAGACCCTGATGCTAGGAAAGATTGAAGGCAGAAGGAGAAGCAGATGACATAAGATGAGATGGTTGGATGGCATGCATCACCGACGCTATGGATATGAGTTTGAGCAAGCTCCAGGAATTGGTGATGGACAGGAAAGCCTGGCGTGCTGCAGTCCATGGGGTCGCAAAGAGTCAGACACAGCTAAGCGACTGAACTGAGCAGAGGAGAGAGGTAGAAGCTCTGGATGGATGACAAGATATGTAGCACTAAGTGACCATTGAAAGGAAGATTAGAACTGGTAAAGAATGATCCTGAGTGGCATCATCGGGAGCCTGACAGGCAGCCCTGAGCGCAGTCACATCCCCAAATGCGTTTTTGGAAAACATTAACAGCACATCTAAGTGGAACAAGACATTGAACAGAGAGCTCAGCCAGTATGCTTTTGTAGAGACAACTGGAAAGTCGATTAGGAGTACCCCCCCCCCCCCCCCAATATTGGTAGTGCAATCTAGGACGTGTTATCAATTCCTTGGCAGGGCTGTGGCAAGGATTAAGATAACAGGTATCACGTGTGGCCTCTTTGTAAGAAGTCACTAGCTTACTGCCGGGACTTTCGGGCGGGTGGCCCCCAAGGTCACTCCACCCCGGGGCACCCCTAGCCAGGCTGCGGCACCAGCGGGGATATCTTTCTGCGTCCCCGCCTGTCCCTGTGAACCGCAGGAACACAAAAGCATGCACCCGGACTCCGCCACTAGGCGCTGAGGCTGTGCGAGGGGCTCAGAGCCTTTTCCTCTTGATTGGGCGGAAAGAGACCGGGGTGGGGCGTAGGCAAAGACAGAGGCAGGGATTGGTTGAGCCCAGGAAGAAGGTGGGGCCTTGACACGGGAGGGAGGCGGGCCCGGAGTCTCCTGAGGCTCCGTCTATTGGTCCCGCCCCCTTACTGGAATTCCGGCCCGTGCAGGTAAGGCCGAACCTTTGGTGAAGCCGTAGTACGTCTCGTAGTTTTCCCAGCAACCGGTGACGCACCGGCGTGAGGCGGGCCACTGGCCAACCCGGGATAGCGGGGCTGAAGCGTGACCCTCAATCCCGAGGCACCTCCCAGTTCCCCCCACTAGGCCGCCCCGCGCTCCTTCCTTCCCTTCCCCGCCACAGTCCCGCAATCCGGGAGGCGGGGGTCAGCGACCCAGCTGAGTGGGAGCCGCGCGGTGTCCGAGGAGCCAGTCGGCGACCGGTGAGGGGACCGAGGGGCGGGAGGAAGGGTTAGCGCGGGGCAGCCATCCCCAATTGTCGCCCGGCTTTTTCCCTCAGCTTTGGGCGGCCAGCGTCTGCCGCCGTGAAGAACGCCGCCCTGGCAACTAGTGACGCAGAGGCCCAGCGGAGCAAGGGATTGGCTGGCCCGCGTCCGCTGCTTCCGCGCGGCCTGCTCCTCCCAGGCCTTGCCCTCCGTCTGTCCTCGCCAGTCTTCCCGCTGTGACCTTCGTTGCTGGCGGCCCCACGACGCAAATATCGCCAGGCTGAGTCCGAAAAAAAAGGGCAGCTGCAGCCTCTAGGTCCCGACCATATTAAACGCCCCCTACTCTACACTACGTTTTTGGTGCCCTGTCTTGCCCTTCGGGTGGGCTGGCGCCTAGGGCAAAGAGTTGAGATAGGCCCAGGGATGGGAAATTTCGTCCAAGGAGAATCTGACCAGCAACTCGTGACGAAAACTAACTGAGGCGCCTGGGATTGGCTGCGCTGCGGAGGGGGGTCAGGGAAGGCGATCTGCTCAGGTGCGGTGTTCTTCATTCCTCGAATAGTTGTTCTCAGCTCCCGTTCAGTACTAGAAACCAAGCCTTAAAATGTGTAATCAACGTCAATACTTACTCTAAGCCCCGGTGTTTGTCGAGGGTCTGCGAAAGCCCCACACTTCTCTAATCCCATTAAGTAGGGTTCTTTGCGGGGGTGGGGGGCAGTCGGGGAGGAGAAGGCCTTGAAAGGTTTTGCAGAACGTTTAGGATGCTTAGGAGGTAGGAGTCAGACCCCTTTTTCAGAGTTCCTCAAAACTGCCCTGGGAAGAGTAAATCCTAAAAACTCAGCAAGTGCCGTTCTCAGACTTTACACCTACCTCTTTTCATGGGAGAAGTTGTAATAGTTTCCTCTATTGAGTTTTCTCAGGCAGGAGTGTTAGGCACACGACTCCCCTGTCCAAGGTCACACAGCCAGTCATGGAAGACCCAAAACTTGGATACTTGCCTCTCTAGTTCCCCTACAGAGGTTGCAGTTCCCAGTTAGTAAACCAAGGCTGAGTATATACAGTGTATGCAGTGGATAGGGCTATGGAGGATAAGATGACTAGAGAGAGGCACTCTCCTCCGGGAACCTAATGCTTGAAAGAATAGCATTCCAGATTAATACATCATTTTTAAAAAGCATTAGATGCCTTATGTGTGCCCAACTTATTGCAAGGCCCAGGAGGAATGCAAACCACTTTATAGTCCTTCCCTTCATCCCGCTTCTGGGCTCCTCTGGCTCTTCTGAGCTGTAGTCTTGCCCGTGTGTCAAAGGAACATAGAGAATAAACTATTCTGCTATGTTCTCTCCCTGTCAACATACATACCTTCTCCACACTTCCCAGATTTCACATGAAAAATCTTCGTGAAAAAAAGTTGCAAAAGAATCTGCTTGGATCATGATCAGGCTTGGGCAGTTGAGGGGAAGGGGGAACTGTCGTTTCTGTTTCCACCAACTCTTTAAACATGTCAGACTAGATCTGAAGCTGGAAGAGACAAGGTCTTTTAAAATACTGGACCTTGTTTCTGTTAAGGGAAAGAGGGAAGTGAGGAGTGACCACTCTGCTGCTCTGGATTTCATACCCCATCCTCAGTTAGAAAAGAGACTGAAACCTTTCCAAAGTGGACTGGGAATCACTCTTTAACGATACTTTCACTGATTATTCAGAATAAAGCCAAGGTGGGGGGGGCGGGCTGGAGGAGTGGAGGTGCTCAGTAGGGTTTCTCTGTGGAGGGATTACTGGGGCAGAGCACTGAATGAAGAAGGGAAAGGGCTTTCAGGTTGAAAGAACTACAAGTGGAAAAGACCCAAATCAGGCTCCAGTGGGCCAGGGAAACTTTTCCATCCATCCAATTCCTCCCTCCTCCTCTTCTCAGCAGTGAAAAGTGTATCATTTGCTTCATAATGGATGTAACATTTCGTCTGCCTCTAGGGGTATCTCAGAGTCCTTGAGACTACGCTGTCATTGAGGCTGGGGCAACAGAACAGACTTTAGGGCTGGGACTAGGGTGGGGTTTAAGTATATAGAGAGAGGCCAGCAGAAGAATCTTCTCTCCCAAATTCAGCTACCACTCTCCAAACCACTTCTAAGGCCAACGGTTTCCTTTCTCATACCAGGATTGCAAAGAATCGAATGCAAAGCACAAGTAAGCCCAGCTCCCATGGCAGCCTGTGAGGTCACCTGGGACTTCCTGATCTGCTACTATCAACTGGCCAGGGCCAGAAGGGCTGGAGACTCTCAGGGAGAATCAGAGACAGAATCCCTTTCCTGTCCCTGGACCCACTTGCCGCCTGAGTGGCTCTAGAAAAGCTCACACCGCAGGGGAACCATAGGTCACACAGGGATGCCCAGTAGTACCCACCCCAAAGGACTAGTGGGAGGAGGAAAGTGCTACATACACAGGAACGTACAAGAGCCATTCCATACTGATGCTAGTAACAACTAGGAGAGTAGCAGTGATAGGCTTTGCACTAGTCACAACCCCAAGTCCCAAACAGATCTACATGGCAGTATAGATACTCACTATCCTGAAGAGCAGATGGACCCTCAGGAGGGTGTGGCCAGAGCCCTACATCTTAGGAGACGAGAAGAGTGGCCATTTTCTCTCGTTCTAAGGGCCAGGGAGGTTAGTGGCTTTTCCATGCAGTCCCCTCCAGGGACTGTGAGGTGGGGCAGCCTCCCTTTGTATGTGTTCCAAGCCATTTGGCCACGTTTGTAATCATCACTTGTCTTAAAAACAGGTGAAATAAATTATAAAATATATCTCATTATTTCATTTAACCCAATACATCTAAAATTTTATTTCAACATACAGTCAGTATTAAACATTGTTCATGAGGTACTTTGCATTCTTTTTCATACTAAGTCTTTGAAGTTAGGCGTGTACTTGACCCTTATAGCACATCTCATTTGGAACCAACCATATTTCAAGTTTCAGTTGCCACATGTCACTTGTGGCACAGCTGAGGCAGCCTTCAAACCCACATCTGCATCCAACTCTGACTTAAAGATGGAGGAATTTTGAGATGATCACTCACCTCTTCACAATGCCCCAGAAATGTTGGCCTGGCAGAAAAGATAACCAGGGAGGAAAATCTTTATTCTGACTGAACAGTACAACTCAGAAGAAAAAGAACTACACTTCTGTTAGTAAATGTACTAAATCCTGATTTAGCTCAACATTCATGTGAACCATTAGATATGACATGAAATGCTGGCAATATCTACTAAGAAACAAATACGTTTTGTGGTAAATGAAACTCAGAAATGTATTGTGATGTTAAGTTTTGCCATTAGCTTATCTTCTTAGTACTTGTCTTTAATTAGTTACATATAATAAATCTGTAAGTATTAAATACTTGAAAGCTACTAAAATTAAACAACTAGGATTTTTCGTAAATTCACACATAATTACCCCCTTCCCTCTTTAAAGCCTCCCTTGTGCTTATTTTTTTCCCCAGAGTCAAAGAAATTTGGTGGTGTAACACTTCTAAACTCAATCAGGAAAATGATGGTTAGGACAGACTGGAAATTGTTCTGTTGGCAGGGTAATACTTTTTTTTTTTTTTTTTCAGATTTTCTTCCAGGCATAGACCCTTTCCTTCAAGGGCAAGCTCCAGTATGGGGTAAGGTGAACAGAAGTGAAACTTGAAGGGTACACCTTGACAAACCTGCACCCTAGACCAGGGTCTCTCATTCCATGTCTGTAATGGGGCAAAATGGTATCTTTGTTTATGTCATTTATATGTGTGTGTTTATGCTTGTACATTTGTCTTACCTTCCTTGGACATGAACCTTTGAAAGCGGTAGACTGGTAGAGGGTTTGATCCCAGAAATTTGGCCTGAGAGGTGCCAGGGTCTCCAGAGACACTCAGGTGAGGGGGAACACTCACTAGGACATAAGCCTTGCTTTCCTTGGCATTTGGGATCAACCACTGACCCCTGAGAGGTTTTATTCACACGAGAGCAAACATTCCTTTGATTTTGACCAGTTAGAATCAGCAACCCAAGCAAGTGTCTGGGCTGAAAACTCCTTCTAGGAGAACCAAGAGACTCACTCTAAAGTCTGCTCTCAGGTCTGCAGAGGTCTCTTGCTCCTAATTACAGATTTTGTTTAAAACTCTTTGAATAAGATGACAAGGATTTAAAATATTCCTGTGCACCCCTCCCCCACCCCATCTCCAAAAACAAGTATGGGCTGGGGCAAGTTGGGGGGATGTCATAGATGAAACATAATTTAGAATGTAAATAAATGCTGAAGGTGAGTGAGTGATCTGTGATACTCTTCTGTGTTAAGTTTTTTATACTTGAAAATATCCGTTTAAAAAATACCTCTCTTCCAGGAAATGTTCCCTTCTTCTCTCTTCTTGCATCTGTCCTCTCTGCTCAGTTTAAAATCACATTGTCCCTCTTATTTTATCCCTCCTGCAGGGCACAGCACACCCTGCTCCAGAGGCACAAAGAGAGAACATCCTACATCAGCCACTCCTGCCCAGTAGTACGGAGGGGAGCAGAAGCTTCAGAGCCCACTCCTGCAGGTCTGTAGCTTAGCTTTAAAGGCTTTTTTAAATTGACTCCATTTGCATCCAGAAGATTAGAACCCCATCTGTGGGGTGTTTTAACCACAGCTCTGGAAATTTAGAGTTGCCATCTGCTAATAAGAAAATGACTGATGACTATTGTTTACTTCCTATCTCTGATCTGTTGGGTGACATGGCTGTAATTGATAGTGGCTATACCTGTCTCCCATGTCCCACTGAACTGAACTGGGGACAGAGCCATGGGTCTTGAGGCAGTCAGTGGTGAGGCCAGTCAGGTTAGGAGAGCAGCCCCATTTGTGCTTTAGATAGAGGGCACAGGAAGTTCTGTGCACAAATGCTGATCCTGCTCAGGGACAGCCATCTGGGCCAACTTGTCAGAAGGATTCAGGGATACCATTTGAGGTAAAGAGAATAGCAGAGCAGATTTCATCCCCATAAAGGGGCTTCTTTGCTACTTCAGGTTCTCAGACCCTTGGAGCTGGGGTAGTGAGGAAAGTCTGCAGAATGTTTGCAAACAACTTGGATGCCCTAAGAATTAGAAAGGATTTTCCTTCTTCCTTCCCCACCCTCCCTAGAAATTTGAAAGGCACTTCTTCAGTAATGGGCTGTCCTTGTGGCTCAGCTGGTAAAGAATCCGCCTGCAGTGTGAGATACCTGGATTGAATCCCTGGGTTGGGAAGATCCCCTGGAGAAGGAAAAGGCTACACACTCCAGTATTCTGGCCTGGAGAATTCCATTGACTACAGTCCATGGGGTTGCAAAGAGTTGTACACAACTAAGCGACTTTCACTTCATTTTCTTTAAGAATACCATCAACTTTTGATAATATTCTTTTACCCCTTTCCTGGGTCCTGAGTTGCTTCGCTTTCTTAAGGTTAGGCCAGGGAACTTGGAGACTGTGCCCTGGCGTGGAGTGACTGCTTATCAGGTGCTGTCCAAAGCCAAGGAGCAATACTTCCGTTTTGTCAAATACCTTCCCTTGCTCAGGTCCCAGCCATTCCTGAGCCTGTTGCCTGGGCTGCTGCTGCTTGAGGGGGTTATGCTTCACCACTTCCAGTCTAGGCCTGGCTCAGTTCACATTGGTTACTCAGGAAACCCTGAGTCTTTGGAAGAAGGCTTTGATTGGTTTAGGCCTAGGGGACTTCTCATTGCCCATCCCTCCTTGGTCATTTCCTAGTGCATCACCAGGCTAGGATCCCTGGTCTAAGGCTATAAAACAAGCTGGACACTCTTCTTCCTCTTCTGAGCACTGTACTGGAGGCAAACTTCCCTCTGAGTCCCTCCTGCCCTTCCTAGTGGCACAAGGACACACCCCTCCCTGGCCTATATTTCTAGGACTCCCATGGTTTTGCCTCCTCTCTTGGAGAATGGAATTCAAGAGATGACCTAACTGAGGGAGCTACAGAAAATAGGAAGCCTGTGCTTGACCCTCCATCCCCCAGGGTGTAGCTGTCATAAATGTTGCTGGAGCTCACAGTGACCTTCTCTCTGCAGGACTCATGGTACATGGTAAACCTAGCTGCAGCCCACCTCTGAAACAGCCACAGCACCTGCCATGAGAGAAGGAACCCTGGAATCTACAGACCAATTTTCCAGGTCTCTCCCCTTTCCCTTTGCTACTGTTCCCTTTCTATGCCTTAAAAATAACTCAGATGGAGAAGGTGGACTCCAGAGTATGAGTGGCACTCTGCACCCTGAGGGCTCCCAGCCTGGCCCTCACCATGTTCGCTGTCTCAGAGGTGGCAGCGGGCAGACCTTATGGGTGCAGTGAGTGTGGCAAGAGCTTCCGCTACAGTTCAGTGCTGCTGCGGCATGAGCGGGCCCACAGTGGTGACAGCAGCTTCCGCTGCCTAGAGTGTGGTGAGCGATGCGCAGAGGCCTCAGACCTCCGTGCACATAGACGCGCTCACGCGGGCCAGACGCTCTACATCTGCAGTGAGTGTGGCCAGAGCTTCCGCCACAGCGGCCGCCTTGACCTGCACCAGAGCGTACATAGACGGCGCATACGCTCCTGCCGCTGCCGAGCTTGTGGTGGATGCTTTCCACACCTCCCGGCTCTGCTGCTGCACCGGCGCCGCTGGCACCCTCCCGAGAGGCCCCGCCGCTGTCCGCTATGCCCTCGAGCCTTCCGCCAGAGCGCGCTGCGCTTCCATCTGGCACGGGCGCACCCATGGGGAACAACTACTGTGCCTGCTGACACACTCCACCGCTGCACACAGTGCTCTCGGGTCTTCCGCAGCGGCGCTGGACTTCGGAGCCATTTGCGTGTCCACGCAGCCAGGAGCCCCAGTGACTCCACACTTCGGCAGCCAGGTGCTCCGGACACACACCAGTGTGGTGTGTGTGGCAAGAGCTTTGGCAAGAGTTCCACGCTAACGCGACACCTGCAGACGCACTCCGGTGAGAAACCTTTCAAATGCCCGGAGTGCGGCAAGGGCTTCCTGGAGAGCGCCACACTGGTGCGCCATCAGCGCACACACACGGGCGAGAAGCCTTACGCCTGCGGCGACTGCGGGCGACGCTTCAGTGAGAGCTCCACGCTGCTGCGCCATCGGCGCAGCCATCAGGGAGAGCGGCCACATGCCTGTGCCACATGTGGCAAGGGCTTTGGGCAGCGCTCTGACCTGGTGGTGCACCAGCGCATCCACACAGGTGAGAGGCCCTTCCCATGTACTGAGTGCGGCCGCTGCTTCAGCGACCGCTCAGACCTCACAAAGCACAGGCGCACACACACAGGTGAGAAACCCTACCGCTGTGAGTTGTGCGGCAAGTGCTTCACATGCGTCTCCAACCTCAATGTGCACCGGCGCAACCATGCTGGCCACAAGCCCCACAAGTGCCCTGAGTGTGGCAAGGCCTTCAGTGTGGGTTCCAAGCTGGCACTGCACCGCAAGACGCACCTGGGCGAGCGGCCAGCAGAATGTGCAGAGTGTGGCAAATGTTTTAGCCACAGCCGCTCCCTGTCACAGCACCAGCGAGCTCACAGGCGTGCTCATGCCTCCACTGCTCCTGCTGCCGCTGCCACTCAGCCCAAGGCAGGCACTGCACTCATAGTTGCTGGGCAAGCAGGACAGGAAAAGCCAGGGCTTTTTTTGCCTCAGTTGAGAGAGACTTATTGAGACTTCTCTGGAGTGGGCTAGACAAGCACTCATACAATGCCACAGAGACGGTGGGACAACTCGCAGACAGAGGTCTGTGGAAAGACAGCATGGCCTATCACCTTTCTCCATCTCTTGGTAGAACTTCACCTGGCTTCTCACAGCGCCCCTACACCTACGACCCTTGTCAGCTCTTTGCCTGTTCTCAGTCCTTCCTTCTCCCCCTCTGAGGTGTAGGTGCAGTGAAAACCTCTCAGACCCCACGAGTAGCACAGCATCCAAGTATTGGTGTAATGAATCCCTGCTGCTGTGCTCTCAGGTCTTGCCTGTCTTCCCATCATTGTTCTGTCTTCTCTTATTCCATCTCCTTTTTGCAGCCTGAGTCCCCTCTACCTTTTCTTTCTGGGTACTTTTGGTATCCTATCTCTTCAGGTAATGACTATAGATGTGGCTAGTCACATTCCACCAGCCTTGTGGTCTTCTCACCTCTTCCTTTCACTTGGCTGTTAGTCTCTTGCTGCTTTTTCCCTCAGCTTCTGAGAGATGGGAAATTTGCAGAGAAATAGTGGAAGAGCTCACTTTTCTGAAAGATATCTCCACATCAGAAGCACTTAGAGAAGTGCTTCACAGCATGTAAAGGTGGGCATGAGCCCTCAGCATGGCTGCCCACCTGTCTCATGGGACAGACCTGTTGGTGTACAGATCAGGGTGCTTCTCAAGATAGAGTTCTCCAGGTAGGGGACATTAGCCTGGGATCTAAGACAAGACCACATGGGTCCACAAAGCTGGGCACTGCCAAGTGGAGTGAGAGTGCTATGTACAAGTCACACTTGGAACCACGGGGAAACAGCTCCACAGAGGCCACAGTGCAGGGTTGAAAATTCCCTGGAATTGGCCATTTTTTTTTCTTGCAGGTGGTGAAATAAAGAATTGTTTTGAGTTCTAGATGCCAAGAGCTCCCTTTGTTAAACCTGAGGCTGCTGTATTCGCAGACACCAAGAGTCACCCAAGAAATAGGCCCTTTCAAAAATCAAGGTGTCTGGTCCCTTCCCAGGCTACCTCAGCAACCTTGGATGTATAGGCCCCTCATTTTTGCACTGGAAGGCAAGACTCTTCAGGGGTCCCTATACATCTGGTTGTCTTGGTTGACAAGGAATACAAATGTGGCCCAGAGTCACATACCTCTAATCCTTCTCCAGCCCATCCCTCTGGAATGACCTAGTGATCACACCCTGCCTTACTTGAAGGCAAGAGTGTGTGTGACTCTCCACAGAAAAAAGGGAAGCCAAAGTGAATTCGGAAAGAAAACTGGGTCCTCACAGTGGGGGCCGGTGGGGGACTGCAGAGAGAGGAACAGGGCCTGCACTTAGGGTGCACTCAGGCACATTCCAGCAGAGCCTGTTTCTAAAAGAATCAAGATTTCTGTACCTCAGGTGCCAAAATACTCACTCTGCCCACACAGGTCTATGTAAAATACTGGGTTTATTCTGTCCTTTAGAAAGACTCAAGTAGCCTGGCTCCCCTAAAATCCGGTCTTGCCCCTGCCCTGCATTCCCCATCACCCCAGTTCCTGGACACCAGGCATCTGGCCCTTCTTGCTCCTTTCCAGTCCCTGGATCCCCCAAATTCTGGGGAATACTTGCTGCTAAGGGAGCAGCATGGGAGCCTGGGGAGCCAGAGAGGACCTGGATCCTTCACTGGTCCCCAGGGATGCAGAAGCCAAGATGCTGGAACAGGACTCCAGTGGACCAGATAGTTCTTGTGGGGCCAAGAGCAAGGCTGGGTGGCTTTTGCTGCGATGAGCTGCAACACTGTCTGGCTTCTCAAAGCGCTTGCCACAGAACTCACAGGGGAATCGCAAGGCAGCCACTGTCTCTGCGTGCTTGCGCCGGTGCCAATTCAGGGATGCCTTCTGGCGGCAGGTAAACCCGCAGATCTCACACCTAAACCAGGGGGAGCAGAGTGAGAGAAGGTGCCTCAGCCCATCTTGACTTCCCCAGGGGTTCCTCCTGGTCCTAGCTTCCCAGGTGTCCTTCCAGCACCTCCCCACTTCACCCCACACCAGGCTCCCTTTCCCACACTCACTGTAGGGGTTTCTCTCCAGTGTGGATGCGCCGGTGGATGACCAAGTTGCTGCTGGTGCGGAAAGACCGGGCGCAGAACTCACAAATGTAGTCTCGGGTGTCTGTGGGCATATAGGGTATAGCCAAGCATCCATCCCCAAACTGAGGCCCTCCTTGGCCCACCCCTTCCAGTCCTCCAAAGGAGTACTGTCCCTATTTAGTCTGCATGTCTCACTCCTCCCAGCCCCACAACAGTGCCCTGTGACCTGACAGACACCCTGTGGGTATCAAGAGCCAATCCCCTCTCCTTTCTCCCTGAACCCGCCTGCCAGCTCTAACAGCACCTGCCCATTGCCCATCTCCAGCAGTTTTCACAGGCCTGGTATGGTTTTTCTCCTGCACCTCCTGCAGCAGAGGAGACAGCCATCCTTTCCATGGCATCCTGTAGTCTTCTGCCCAACCACTGCTCTGTATATCCTGCCATCAGACCACACACACATGTACCTATAGCCTTCATCCCCATCACTAACTTGTACTCCACGCAACTCCTGCTCCAGGCTCTCTCCTCAGTCACTACCACTGATGTCAATTTGTTTTCTACATGTCCAGCCCTCACTCTCCTGGTTCCCAGACCCTTACTAACCTGGCCTCCCCACTCTCCTCAGCCACCACTCCCAGGTTATGCACCATCACTGCACCATGTAGAAATCACAATTTCAAGCATCCTAGTTCCAGTCATCCTTTGTCCTGTTACAGTAATCCTACAACTCCAGGCTGCCAGTTCAGTGGCCCACTGCCTTCCCACTGTCTCCCTCCCTTCTCTGTGACGAGTCCATTTCCAAGGCATCTTCATGGCCTTCCTTCACTTCACCTGTCTCTCTTTTCCTCAGCTATATTTTCCTGGTTAAAACCCAACTCAGGATAAATACAACACTTGGTTGCTCCAGGCCTGCATATGTGTGTTGAGCAGGGCAGACAACCAACTCCCCGATACCCCACCTTGGGCTCTACTTTCATACACAACTACAAGTCTCAAGCCTCCCCACTGCCCTATCACAGTACCCCTGCATTTCCTTGGTCAGTTCACTCTCCCACTTTCTAGAGTCCAGAAGGGCATTTTGCACATGACCTCCTCTTTCTACCAAACTCACTCAGCAATAACCTCATTTTATAAGTCACCCAGAAGAAAAGAGCCAGGAAAGAACGCCCACATCCTCCCCTCACCTAATCCACCAGGCAACTTGCTTTCTGTGCCCATATATGTGAATAGTTCCTGCTTCCCTGTGGCTGCCTTCCAACTGTGCCCAGACACACCCCCTCCTCACTGACTTAAGGATGCCCAACCCTGGCATCAGCAAGCCTTTCCTCTCTGTGGGATCATCTCTGTATGATCCTGCCCTCCAGCTTATACCTACTTCTCTGCTTGCCTTCACAGCAAAACTCCAAAGAGTTGTCCGTACTTGCTGTCTTCACTTCCTCAGCTCTTCTCTGCTCCAGACCCACCACCCCCTGCTGGCTGCTATCTCCCTTGTCACATGCCATTTTGTCATCTGGTCAAGGATAGCTTTCCACTACCCTATCTGGTGGCCCGTCCACATCCTCATCTCACTCAGCTTGGCAGCACTGGCATAGGTCACCCGCCCCTCCTCCCTAGAGCGCTTTCTCCACTTGGCTCCTCGGATACTGCTCTCCAGCGGCCTCCCCGGCCCCTCTGTAGCTGACCTTCCCACCTGCCCTGCTCAGACCTCTTCTCTACCTATGTTCACTCTCTCCCTGTAGAAACACTCCACCCACAGCTCTAAACACCACTCAAGTGCTCATGATGAACATTTTTTTCTTTTTTACCCAACAGCTCTGAACTTCAGATTCATGTTTTCTAGAACACCTGATTAGCATGTCCCAAATAAAATGTCATGTCCCTTTCCTGAAGCCTGCTTACGTGTCATTTTCAGGGAATCACATCACCTTCTATCCAGGTGCTCAGGCTCGAGGCTTTTTCCAAGTCCTCTGACTCTACAGTCCTACCCATGGACAATCTGTTCTACCCACAGTAGCCCGAGCTCCACCTTCACTCACTCGTCAGTCTCCAGCTACTTCTCACCAGGTTGCCATTACTGTGCTGCACATTTCTGCAGTCCCTCTATTCTTCACATGGCAGTCACAAAGCTCCTTTTAAAATCAGTTGTGTCCCTCCCTCCAACATACCGGTGCCCATCACATGTGGCCAGGAGCCAAGCCATTGTGAAGATGGTTTTGGAGGCCTCTACTACCTATTTGACCTCTCTTCCTTTCTAACCTCCTGTCTTCCTCTCCATCCTGGATCATGCTTGGAGATGGCAGTTTAGGATCCTCTCACGAGCTGCCTGTGGGTATGGCTAAGCCTCCATTCTCTCTTCACTTAGGTCTTTGCTCAAAGCACCTTTCATAGCTCTTTGTGGCCCAGTGTCAGTAGAGTAGACATCTTACAAGGTGAGTACTGCCTGCTTTACTCACTGCCGAATCCAAGCACTTATAACAGTTTAAAGCAGGCAAGATCTCAACAGAAAGAGAGTGCGGGATGAGTGTGGGAATGAAGAGTTATCCCAGGGCAATGTGACAAAACCTGCAGATACGAGGTGATGGGCCTCGTGGGGGAGGGGAAGGTACCCACAGGGGGAGGTGACAGGACCCACAGTGGGGAGATGAGAAGGCATTTCCACAACTCACCACTGTGCAGCTTCACATGCTCCTTCAAGTGTTTCTTAAAGTTAAAGGACTTTCCACAGGCCGGCTCTGGGCAGGAGAAGGACTTTTGGTGGATGTGCTGGTATTTCTTGTGGTGCTAGGGAAGGAAGCACATGGTTTTCTCAGGGAGACCACCAGAGCTGACCCAGAAGGCAGGCTTTTCTGCCCTCTTCCTTAGCAGTTCTTGTCACCACCTCACCTATGGTCCAGTCCTCACCTATACATGAGCACCCCAATCCCATCCCTTCTTGATACCACCCTGCCCTTACTCTGCCCTGCCCTCAACTTCCATTATCTCACCTTCTTGTCACAACATCACCCTGCAATGCCCAGTTCCCTGAACAAAATGCAGTTCTGCTGACATTCCTGGTTCCCTAACTATATATTTGCCATCTGCCAGGGATAAGAACACATTTTGGGTGGTTATGATTACTCTCCTTGATATCAATATCAATGCCCAACAGTGTCTCTCAGATGGCCTACATTTTATTAATAGCTCACCATGGGATTATATCGTTTTCTCCTAAATGTGCTTTGGAAACACACTCTCTCTCAACTTGGAACACTTTTAAGGGTAGTGTGTTCTTCAACCTTAACTCCCCAAGTATTTCTAGGAAATATTTCTCTTTTTATCTGGTCTAATTTTCACATCCTGGCTCACTAAGCTGCATGGGCTTTCCCTTTCTCCATAATCCCATTTCCCCATATTTAAACTACTGCTGGGAGCTACTTCAGTCTCCTTCATTAATAGACTCAAATATGTTTGACTAGCCCTGCTGTTCTTATCAAAGGCCTAGAGCTTTGCAACCACCTGGGAACCTTCCCCTTCTCCCAAATCCCATCCACCCAGGCCTCACCACCCCTCTGGTCTAGGGCCCCCCAGCCTCAGAACCCTGTGAGAGCTCTCGCTGAGTGTGGGGCTTGGACCCTTCCGTCTCTGTGCCTCAAACCTCTCCTGTAGTAAGGCTGAGGACAAGACTGTCTCCTAAACCACCCACATGAGCGAGCAGAGCAAGGCAGCCCAATGGACTGAGGAACCCTAGCACCTTGACACATTAATGAGAAGCCTTCGGCAAGGCTTAATCTTTCCGTGTTCCTTGGTTTCCTCATCTGCAAAGCAGGAATAGTATCAGCGCCCACTCCACAGGAATGTTGAGA